TCTATGGCAAGCAACAGACCTCACTACCTCTGAGGATGGTTGTCATAGATGCAGGCGAAACGTCAGGAGAAATGCCTCTAGAACATGGCCCTATAGCCCGAAAAAAACCCACAAGAACCTAGTAAAAGTTCTTCTCAATAGGACATCTATGGACATTCTGTGGCTCCCCAGTGTCTCCATTCCCCAAGCCTTTCCCCTTCCCAGTCTAGGAAGGGAACTAGCAGTGTACCTGCCCCATAATAGTCTTCCAGTCGAAAATAGCAATCTTTTTTTCTTTTTCCCTTCTTCTCTTATCTTGACAGTATAGGCAAGACACCTTCTGAGAAACTAGGAGTAGATTTGGTGAGAAAAGACCTTGGGCATCTTTGGACCACCCCATTCTTAGTAATTGTCATTGGAGGGTAAATAGTTTAAAACATGGCTCTCTTGGGAAGACCATCTACCTTGGCTTCATTCCTCACTGTACTTGTCACAGACTTGATTTTTGGAGCCCCTAAAGCAGAATTTTTTCCCCTCCTCAAATTATTTTCATCCATTTCCGAGCATCTCCTATTCACCCTTACTTGGCACCTACCCAAACATGATTTACTGAGACAGATTTAGCTCTCCATCTTCACCAAGGGGTGAAAACACAACGCCAACATGTGCAAAAGGTCCCCTTTTTGTATACTTCTTAGGGTGCACCGCTCACTGGAAAGGCAGTTCCAGAAGGGATCATCCCAACCTTACTCAAATGTCCTCAAAATGGGATTTATCTCATTTTTCTTCATAGGTGAGGTTAGAGATTACTAAATTGCCTTTAGGATCTGAAACCATGGTTCGCCCATCTCTTTCTATTCTGCCAGCCATCATAATTCACTTAGGTTAGTCCTACACTCTCCTATATCCCAGGTTCTGATCCCAGATTATCTATCTGCTTTGATTTGGATTACATGTGTCTACACTGCAAGATAATGTGGGAGCAGATCCTAGAATATAGGAGTGAAGGGGTCTTAATCGGCCATTAAGTGTCTGTATTTTGACAGAAGTCTCTGGCCCCTTCCACACAACTGTATAAAATCCCATGTTATCTGCTTTGAACTGGATTATATGGCAGTGTGGACTCAGATAGCTCAGTTTAAAGCAGACATTGTTGATATTCTGGGATATATGGCTGTGTGGGTGGGTCCTCTGCCTTATTATGACAGGTAAATCTGGGCCCTTGTCTAAGTATCCTCATATTTAATCCTCACTTGATATTAAGGAAAAAATAAAGCTATTCAGATACCAAAAATAGCATTAATTCACTAATATTAGTGCTAAATATTCAGATGCCATCTGAATTGGGCAGCAAAGCATAGTCAGTATTGGATGGGATATTAACAATTAATAGCAAGTGCTGTCGAAGTGCTGTCGAAGGCTTTCATGGCCAGAATCACTGGGTTGTTATGAGTTTTCTGAGCTGTATGGCCACGTTCCAGAAGCATTCCCTCCTGACATTTTGCCCCACATCACATACAGCCCAGAAAACTCAACTCAGTTACTACTGGTCAGTTTAGAGGAAGGAACTGGCAAAAACCACTTCTGAGTATTCCCTGCCTAAGAAACCTATAAAATCCATGGGCTTCCATAAATAGTGGGTGATTTGATAGGCACATACACACAGGAACTATTATTAGTCATAATAGCACTTACTAGTATTAAATAGGGTGTGTAAAAGGTAAAGGTTTCCCCTTGACATTAAGTCTATTCTGGCGTTGTCCTTCGACACCTCCAAGATCACGTGGCCAGCATGACTGCATGGAGCGCCATTCCCTTCCCTCTGGAGAGGCACTTATTAATCTACTCACATTGCATGTTTTCAAACTGCCAGGTTAGCAGAAGCTGGGGCGTTTTGGACTTCAACTCCCATAATTCCTAACAGCCTCAGGGCCTTTCCTTTTCTCCCTCAGCCGCTAACAGCAGGACCTCCCCCGCTCCCCAAAGTCGGTGAGTCGGAGCAAAAACTATTGATCTACTCACGTTGCATGTTTTCAAACTGCTAGGCTGGCAGAAGCTGGGGCTAACAACAGGAGCTCCCCTGCCCCCCAGATTCGGTGAGCCAGAGCAGAAGCGATCTACTCACATTGCAGCAAAAACTATTGATCTACTCACATTGCATGTTTTCAAACTTCTAGGTTGGCAGAAGCTGGGGCTAACAGCAGGAGCTCCCCTGCTCCCCAGATTCGATGAGCTGGAGATGAATCTATTGTCTCCTCACATTCGCATGTTTTCGAACTGCTAGGTTGGCAGAATCATAGAATCATAGAGTTGGAAGAGACTTCATGGGCCATCCAGTCCAACCCCCTCGCAAGAAGCAGGAATATTGCATTCAATGCACCCCTGACAGATGGCCATCCAGCCTCTGTTTAAAAACCTCAAAAGAAGGAGCCTCCACCACACTCCGGAGCAGAAAGAATCTGGGGCTAACAGCAAGAGCTCCTCCACTCTCCAGATTCAGTCAGCCAGAACTGTACCTATTGATCTACTCACATTCACATGTTTTCAAACTGCTAGGTTGGCAGAAGCTGGGGCTAACAGCAGGAGCTCCCCCGTTCCCCCAGATTCAGTAAGCAAGATACGGTCAGTCAGGGCGGTACCTACTGATCTACTCACACTGGAATGTTTTCCAACGGCTAGGTTGGCAGAAGCTGGGGCTAACAGCAGGAGCTTCCCCACTCCCCAGATTTGGTCAGCAACTTCAGCAGCTCAGCACCACAGGGGGCCTCCAAGTAGTGTGTGTAGGTGCCTTCACATTATCTGTTGACTTCGGGTGACCTTGGGCCATATAACCCAAAAAAATCAAGGCAGAAAATCCCACAAGATCTGCTTTGAACTGTGTTATCTGAGTACACACTGCCAGATATCCCAGTTCAGAGCAGATAATGTGGAATTTTATTCAGCTGTGTGGAAGAGGCCTTAGAAGGAGAGAGAGAGAAAACCCAAAACCCGAGCCCTTGGGAGACTAAAAATATAACCCTGAACATAGCTGCGTGAAATGACGTTCCACTGAACTGAGGCGGCTGGGGAAGAAGATGCGTGAAGAGTGGGGACCGCCCCGTCATTCATCCGTGGCGTAAATCTGACACTGCTGGGACAAGCCTTCTTCTGTTGGAGGGGTTTTTACCCCCCTCTGGGGAGCTGGGGCAACATTGACAGGCTCGGATGCTCCCTGGGAAAAGACACGCCTTACTTACCCTTTCCTTCCCAAAACTTGGCCAAACTTTGGACCGTCCTCATCCCACTAGAAAATGAATCCACTTTAAACCCGGTTTCTGCTTCCTGCAGAATTCTGGGGTTTGTAGTTTAGTGAGGCTGTGAAAGGCTCCTCCCTGAACTACAAATTCCAGAATTCTGCAGGAGGCCAGATTTCAAGTGGATTCATTACCTCGCGTGGAAAAGGAGAGAAGCTTCAATTCTACAGGACCGAGGCAGCCCAAGGCGGCGGATGGTTGATAGGGACCCTCCACTTCCCCCCACAAAGACCCCATTAGTCTCTTCTAAGTGGCTCAGATCCCCTTCCACTCTCTCTTGGTCGCCCCCACGAGCTCCTTCATTCAGAAAATGAGCCACGCGCGACGCTATTCGCAAAGGACGAAGATGCACCCGTGGATGAGCCAGCAAGAGTCGCTGGAAGAGAATGCAACACGTTGTGGGTGCATCTACACCAGGCCTGGGCAAACTTCGGCCTTCCCTCCAAGTGTTTTGGACTTCAACTCGATTCATTGCTTACAGCCTCAGGCCCTTTCCTTTTCCACCTCAGCCGCTCTGCTCTGAACTGGGATATCTGGCAGTGTGGACTCAGATAACCCAGTTCAAAGCAGATCTTGTGGGATTTTGTGCCTCGATGTTCTGGGTTATATGGCCCAAGGTCACCCGAAGTCAACAGATAATTTGAAGGAACCTACACACACTACTTGGAACCCCCCTGTTGTGCTGAGCTGCTGAACTTGCTGACCGAATCTGGGGAGCGGGGAAGCTCCTGCTATTCGCTCCAGCTTCTGCCGACCTAGCAGTTCGAAAACCTGCAATGTGAGTAGATCAATAGCTTCTGCTCCGGCTCACCGAATCTGGGGAGCGCGGGAGCTCCCGCTGTTAGCCCCAGCTTCTGCCAACCTAGCAGTTCGAACACCTGCAATGTGAGTAGATCAATAGCTTCTGCTCCGGCTCACCGAATCTGGGGAGCTCCTGCTGTTAGCCCCAGCTTCAGCCAACCTAGCAGCAATGTGAGTACAGTATATTCTGGCATATAAGACTACTTTTTAACCCAATAAAATCTTCTCAAAAGTCAGGGGTCGTCTTATACGCGGGGGTAGTCTTATGCATGGGAGTCGTCTTAACTCTATATTTTAACTGGAAAAGTTGGGGGTCGTCTTATACGCCCAGTCGTCTTATATGCCGGAATATACGGTAGATAAATCGCTTCTGCTCCAGCTCGCCGAATCTGAGGAGCGGGGGAGCTCCCGCTGTTAGCCCAAACTTCTGTCAACCTAGCAGGTCGAACACCTGCAATGTGAGTAGATCAATAGCTTCTGCTCCGGCTCACCGAATATGGGGAGCGGGGGACCTCCCGCTGTTAGCCCCAGCTTCAGCCAAACTAGCAGCAATGTGAGTAGATAAATCGCTTCTGCTCCAGCTCGCCGAATCTGAGGAGCGGGGGAGCTCCCACTGTTAGTCCCAGCTTCTGCCAGTCTAGCAGTTTGAAAACATGTAATGTGGGTAGATCAATAGTTTTTGCTCCGAATCACGGACTTTGTTGAGCGGGGAAGTTCCTGCTGTTAGCCCCAGCTTAAGCGGCTGAGGGGGGAAAGGAAAGGGCCTGAGGCTGTTTGGAATGATGGGAGTTGAAGTCCAAAACGCCTGGAGGGGAGGCCAAAGTTTGTCCAAGCCTGATCTGCCCTGTATCTACACTCCATGGCTCAGTGTTATGGAATCATGCAAGTTACAAATCAAAGTCAATGGGACGCGGTGGAGTCCCTTACCTTTCCCTTTTCCAAGGCGCTTTCGCTTGCAGAAGGGAAGCAGCAGAAGAGTCTTGGCCACCCGAAGCGGCTTTCCGAAAGGGACGGGGATGGAAAGGGATCCAATTTCAAACCGCGAGCCTCGATCCCCGACCCGCAGTTACAGCGTGAGAGAAGGAGGAACTTTCTTTTATGACCCGGGGAGGGGGAAGGGGGCGTGTCCGGGGGCGTGGCCTGTGCCCTTGAGTGACGGGTGGAGCCCAGAGCGAGAAAAGCCTGGGTCAATCCACGTTGTAGAATAACCAACCAGTATGACTTCATGCGGGTAGCCTCAAACTGTGGCCCTCCAGCTCTTTGGTCCCCCAACTCCCAGAATTCCTGACCATTGAACAGGCTGGTTAGAGCTTCTGGGAGTTGGAGGCCCAAAGAGCTGGAGGACTTCAGTTTGAGGATGTCTAGCTTAATGCTATGAGACCAAAATGGGTTTTAAAGGGGGTTGCCTTTGCTTTCCTTTGAGGCTGAGAGAGAGTGATTTGTCCAAAAGTTTAACCCATTGTGTAAGGCAAAGAGGTTTCCAACTTTCGGGACCAGGCTAGGACTTCCCATCCTGCATCTTTTGGCCTCCAGTCACTCGCTGGAACACCTCAGCAACCAAGAGTCCAAAAGTGGCAGGCTAAAACCCAGCACCTCAATCACACAGAAAACTGGGCGACTTGGAAGGCAGTCTGGCACCACGAGATGCAGAGCCAACCTTAAGAAATGGGGCTACAAAATGGAATCCACCACATGTGAGTGTGGAGAAGAGCAAACCACTGACCACCTATCACAATGCTAGACAATCCCCTGCCACATACACAGTGGAGGACCTTCTTGCAGCAACACCAGAGGCACTCCAAGTGGCCAGCTCCTGGTCAATGGATATTTAACAGAATGCCAAGTTTGCAAACTTTGTGTGTGTGTGTGTTTTAAATACAATACAACTGTTTGGTTTCCCCCTGACACAATAAATAAAATCTTTTGGTCTATTGAGAGCAATCCCTTTGATCCTTTAAGGGACCGAGGGCCCTTCCACACAGCCCTATATCCCAGAATATCAAAGCAGAAAATCCCACATTATCGGCTTTGAACTGGAATATATGGCAGCTTGGTGGACTCCAATAATCCAGTTCAAAGCAAATAATGTGGGATTTCCTGCCTTGATATTGTGTGGAAGGGCTCCCAGATGCCTGCAGATGCTCTGATCCATCTGCAGGCATCAAAACATCTCTGAAACCCAAATTAAGTTGTTCAAAAATTCCCCCTGGGGGAATCCAACAAAGGATTCCTCCAGGCAGGAAGCAGCCAGACCTTGAAACTGCAAGGCCATTCAGTGCTAATCAAACATTCACACCTACCTCTTTCTCCCTCCATGGACATTCCACAGATATATAAAACCCCATTTTCCTAGTTTCCATCAGACCTCACAACCTATAAGAATGCTTTCCATAGATGCAGGCGAAACGTCAGGAGAGAATGCTTCTGGAACATGGCCATACAGCCCGGAAAACTCACAACAACCCAGTGATTCCAGCCATGAAAGCCTTCGACAATACTATTATTATTATATTAATTATATTATTAGTTATTAATTATATTAATTAATATTAATATTAATAATCATATGATTATTTATATCTCGCTTTTTCCATTAAAAGCTTACATTCAAATGCTTACATTAAAAGCCTTTTTCTGTTCGATTTTATAACGTTTTAATTTGCTTTATTTATTTTATTTTGCTACTGTATGTATTTTATTCTGATGTAAATTTTGTTGTTGTGTATTTTGTATTTTATTTTGCTGTATTGTATCTTTGGGCTTGGCCTCATGTTAGCCGCCCTGAGTCCCTTTTGGGGAGATGGTGGCGGGGTATAATAATAATAATAATTATTATTATTATTATTATTATTATTATTATTATTATTATTATTATTAGGGCTGCCAAGCAGAGGTGTATTCGCATGAGATGCCTTCTTGACATTCCCCATGTGCTTTGGGGACGAATGAAACCGGAACCGAACCTCCCACCATCTCTCCTGAAAGGGAGAAGAACTTTCACTGTTCTTGGGTGCATCTAAACTGCAAAATTGATGCAGTTCGAGACCACTTTGCCTGTCATTGGGTCCATGCTATGGAATCCTGGAAGCCTCCCTCCTCTGCCTAAGAGTGCTGGGCTTCCCCAAGATACAGATCCTAGGATTTCATAGCATTGACCGATGGGAAGTGGTTTCAAACTGCATTAATTCCACAGTGTATGTCCCTTTTCCGTATCCTTGATCACTCGTGAAGGTTCAGCACGCCTAATTTGATCTAGGAACTAATAACAGAAACTGTTTGGTTGGCTCAGAATCATAGAATCATAGAGTTGGAAGAGACCTCATGGGCCATCCAGTCCAACCCCCTACCAAGAAGCAGGAAAATTGCATTCAAAGCACTCCCGACAGATGGTCATCCAGCCTCTGTTTAAAAGCTTCCAAAGGAGGAGCCTCCACCACACTCCGGGGCAGAGAGTTCCACTGTTGAACGGCTCTCACAGTCAGGAAGTTCTTCCTAATGTTCAGATGGAATCTCCTTTCTTGTAGTTTGAAGCCATTGTTCCATGTCCTAGTCTCCAGGAAAGCAGAAAACAAGCTTGCTCCCTCCTCCCTATGGCTTCCTCTCACATGGCTATCATGTCTCTCTCTTCTATTCTTCAGGCTTAACATGCCCCGCTCTTTAAGCCGCTCCTCATAGGGCTTGTTCTCCAGACCCTCGATCATTTTAGTTACCCTCCTCAGGACACTTTAACTTTGGTCACCTGATAAATTAGACTCTAAAGCAGGCATGAACAAACTTCAGCCCTCCAGGTATTTTGGACTCCAACTCCCACAATTCCTAACAGCTTTCCATTTGAGACTGGGGTACAGAATTAATGCACCACTTTAATAGCCATGGCTCAGTGCCATGGAATCCCGAGATTTGCAGTTTTGCAAAGTCCACAGCCCTCATTGTCATAGTTCTGGTGCCTTACCAAACTACAACTTCCAGGATCCCAGAGTATTGAGTTTGGTAGTCGGAGTAGTGTCAATCAAAATGCATTAATTTGGCAGTGTAAATGCATTATTAGGCTGCATCTACACTGTAGAACCCTACACTACATCTACAAGGTATACATTATTTGTTGATATATAGGCGACAGTCTCATCTCATGTGCTATGCTAATAATATAATATAATGTAATATAATTTATTGTATTGTATATACATATAATATTTATAATATTATAATGTAATACAATATAATACTAATGATAATATGATATCATTATATATTTTATATTACATGTAATACTACTAATAATATTATAATATAATGGTATAGAACAATGTAGTAATTTATAATACTGATATTTTACTATCCTAATAATATAATATATTGTAAGTCACTCTGAGTCCCCTTCGGGGTGAGAAGGGCGGCATATAAATGTCATAAAATAAATAAATATCAAGACAACTGCCTTCATGTTTGGATTCTCCCCAAATGCCTAAGGAGTTCATCATGGAAAGCATGTGTACTTCCTAATTAAATGATACACCTAGCTGTCCCTTGGCATGCGTTGCTGTGGCCCAGTCTGTGTATATGTGTTTTGTGTATATGTGTGTGTATATATATGTAGTTTTGCACATGCATTGTATTTTTGGTTTTTGGCTTTTAAAGTCTCTTCTGCTGTGTTTTTCAGTGTTTTTATGAATGATGGTCACATTATTTTCATTACAGGAGACTGGAATGCCAAGGTGGGAAGTCAAATGACAACAGGGATCACAGGCAAGCATGGTCTGGGAGAACAAAATGAAGCGGGACGCAGGCTGATAGAATTTTGCCAGGAAAACTCGCTGTGTATAACGAATACTCTCTTCCAACAACCTAAAAGACGGCTCTATACATGGACTTCACCAGATGGTCAACACCGAAATCAGATTGACTACATCCTTTGCAGCCAAAGGTGGCGGACATCCATCCAGTCGGTGAAAACAAGACCTGGGGCTGACTGTAGCTCAGATCACGAACTTCTTATTGCCCAATTTAGAATAAAACTAAAGAGATCAGGGAATACACAGACCAGTTAGATATGATCTCACTAACATTCCTAGCGAATATACAGTGGAAGTGAAGAACAGATTTGAAGGACTAGATTTAGTAAACAGAGTCCCAGAAGAACTATGGACAGAAGTCCGCAACATTGTTCAGGAGACGGCAACAAAGTACGTTCCAAAGAAAAAGAAAACCAAGAAGGCAGAATGGTTGTCTGCTGAGACACTGGAAGTAGCCCAAGAAAGGAGGAAAGCAAAAGGAAACAGTGAAAAGGGGAGATATGCCCAGTTAAATGCGCAATTCCAGAGGTTAGCCAGAAGAGATAAGGAACTATTTTTAAATAAGCAATGCATGGAAGTGGAAGAAGACAACAGAATAGGAAGGACAAGAGACCTCTTCCAGAAAATTAGACACATTGGAGGTAAATTTCAGGCAAAAATTGGTATGATAAGAAACAAAGATGGCAGGGACCTAACAGAAGCTGAAGAGATCAAGAGAAGGTGGCGAGACTATACAGAAGATCTGTATAGGAAGGATAATAATATTGAGGATAGTTTGACGGTGTGGTGAATGAATTAGAACCAGACATCCTGAGGAGTGGGCCTTAAGAAGCATTGCTAACAACAAGGCAGCAGGAGACGACGGGATCCCAGCTGAACTGTTTAAAATCTTAAAAGATGATGCTGTCAAGGTGATGCATGCCATTTGCCAGCAAATATGGAAAACACAAGAATGGCCATCAGACTGGAAAAAATCAACTTATATCCCCATACCAAAAAAGGAAATGCGAAAGACTGCTCAAACTTCCGTACAGTGGCCCTTATTTCTCATGCCAGTAAGGTAATGCTCAAGATCCTGCAAGGAAGACTCCAGCAATACATGGAGCGAGAGTTGCCAGATGTTCAAGCTGGGTTTAGAAAAGGCAGAGGAACGAGAGACCAGATTGCCAATATCCGCTGGATAATGGAGAAAGGCAGGGAGTTTCAGAAAAACATCTACTTTTGCTTCATTGACTATTCTAAAGCCTTTGACTGTGTGG